GATGCAGGCCGCTAACAACCGGTCGAAGTGGAAGTCAATGGGGGAGGCCTATGTTCAGCAGTGGACGTCCTACGGCTGATATGATGATGATAAGGAAGTACTAACATAGTAACTATATGCTAAACAACTAAAGTATGTTATCTAGCCTAACGAATATGATCGATACAACAAATTTCTTCAAAACTCAGTGGTCATCTGAAGCAGGAACGAATGCCAATATTTTTTTTTAAATTTAAAATCGTAACATGAATGTATGAATATTTAGCTGTCGTATTAACAACACATCTAAAGCAACCTGATCTGAAAATTCGCCTATATTTGGTAAATAAAGAATTCCTAAGACATACATTTACAGCCGGGTAGTCCGAGGAACACAGTCTCATAGAAAATTGAAGTATTTATACTTCTACGTTTCGTTAAGCAGTGAGTTAACTGGGATCTAATATTTAATCAGGTCTTTAATGACAACAAAAAAGTTTCTCGGACAAGAAACGAATACCTGTTAGTCACAAACCTTGCCTTAAACTTTTTCCGTGCGGTAATCGAACCCATTAAAACGGTGCGAAATGGTAGTTGTCAATAAATAATGAAATATCAATAATTTTTCTGCGTGACAGGGTTCATAATTAGGGGTGCTTTGTCAGATAACCTCCTCGTGGTGCACCCTGGGTACCAGCCAGTGGCCTTTGTGGCCTTTGTGGCCACTGACTGGTAGCAAATAATCTGACGGGTGGGCGTTTCTCCAGGTGTCCCTCTGACCAGCAGAAGGCATACTGGAGAAGCAAGGGCGGGCTTTGTGTTCACTAACCCTGTCACTGAGCGGGCGATGCGACTACGGTCTCGTCTCCACCGTCGACCACGACGCGGGAATGCGCGTGGTACTCGTAAGCTTGGTCAAAGTGCTGTGGTCATGTCTCGCGACTTTGATCGGGAACGAGGGCCTTGCCTTTATTGGCCGGGCCAAGAGGAGAAAGCCTCTATAAAAAAACCCCCAATCTCAAGCGGTGAGAGCAGCGCGAGGAGATGCATGGTTGAGGGGTTGTCAACCACTACTGCCACTCGACCCCAGGCACCGGCCGACCCCTGGGTGTATGTAGGCTTATCTAGGTACAGGAGGGCACTGCCTGGACAGACTGAATGTTTCCCCCATACTCGTGGGATCTGCAATGAAGAAAACTAGAACCCTTAATAAAAACGCGGAAGGAAATGAAAGTGCTGTGAGCGAAAGTGGCTCTGGAACTGTTTCGGCAGTTCGTGACCCAAAGACGGGACGTCTTGTTGCACGGGGCCTAGCTGCTCCTGAAATAAGAAGCGAAGGAGCAGAGTCGGACTCCTTCATCATGTCGGTTGCTTCGGCTAAGTCAACGGCCTCTCAAGTGAGCAGAAAACGGAGGAAGGCAAAACAACAGTCTCCAGGAGAACTAAAAGCTCCGGAGCCGAAATGCCAAGCGACAAGTGTCGAAAGCGCGAGAACGCCGAATTGCGTTCCCAAATCGCTGAGCTTACGGCGAAAGTTGGTAAGTTGACAGAGGAGCTCAGTGCTTTACGAAAAACAGAACAATGTAAAGCAACCAAGACGCCCCAATGTATTACGAAAGGAGAATTCGAAAGTCGGCTGATGGAGCGCATTAGCGTTCTCATCGATAAAAAACTGGCGGGTTTCGTTGGGCAAGGAACGATGAAGAAGTCGGAACAGTGCCGAAGAAGAAGGCGGGCCACGGCCGGAGAGGAGGCGAGAGCATACGAGGCTTACAGAGGTGCCACAAAAGCACTGCAAAGAGCGATCGAGGAAGCCAAGGCTCGGTCCTGGAGTGAACTCCTCGACAGTCTGGATAGGGATCCGTGGAGGCGCCCGTATAGGATTGTATTGGGCAAGCTCCGACCATGGGCCCCTCCACTGACGGAGACCCTGGACCCAACTTTTGTGGCAAGAGTGATTGATACGCTCTTCCCCCTAACCCAGGAAAACCCTGAGCCCCCAAGCATAATTATGAATGAGACCGATTGGTCTGATGGATTGGGAGTCACTCAGGACGAGATGGACCGGGCCATTAAACGGCTTCGAAGCCGGAATACCGCACCAGGCCCTGATGGTATTCATGGTCGGGTGTGGGTGCTAGCTCTCGCTGCCGGACTGGGAGGGAGACTGAGGCTACTCTTCAACAGCTGTCTCAGAGCCGGTGTTTTTACCTCACGGTGGAAGGAGGCCAAATTGGTGCTATTGAAGAAGGATGGAAGGACTGCTGACGCTCCCTCTGCGTTCCGACCTATTTGTTTGCTGGATGAGGCGGGCAAACTATTTGAAAGAATTATTGCACACCGCCTCACAATGCACCTACATCAGGTAGGCCCCGACCTATCGGATAGCCAGTATGGTTTTAGACAGGCTCGGTCAACTGTTGACGCAATCCTTTGCGTCCGAGACCAGTCGCAGAGGGCTGTTACCCAGGGTGGTGTAGCATTGGCGGTCAGCTTAGATATCATCAATGCCTTCAATTCATTACCCTAGCGTACAATCAGGGAAGCACTGACCTACCACCAGGTACCCCCCTATCTGCAGCGTATTATCGGGGCGTACTTGCACGGCAGGTGCATTCAGTACGTGGGTCGGGACGCGTTAGTCCATTATAGGGAGGTGAACTGCGGGGTTCCACAGGGGTCCGTCTTAGGGCCATTACTTTGGAACCTCGCATATGACGCCGTTCTACGAACTGCTCTCTCCGTCGGTGTAAGTGTTATCTGCTATGCAGACGACACTCTAGTATTGGCCGACGGGGGTAGCTTCGAGAGCACCAGTTGGCTCGCTGAGCTTGGGGTGGCTTGCGTTGTGGGCAAAATCCATGAGCTGGGTCTTCGGATAGCGCCTCATAAGACCGAGGCGCTTTGGTTCCACAAACTTCCTAGAGGAAGGGATCCACCCAGCTGGTCAGTTCGCGTGGGTGACGTGCAGATCCCGGTGAGACCAGTGATGAAATATCTTGTTCTCACTCTGGATAGTCGCTGGGGCTTAGAGGAGCACTTCAACCGCTTGGCCCCCCGTATAGAGAAGGTAGTAGGTGCCTTACACAAATTACTGCCTAATCTCGGGGGCCCCAGGGAAGGAGTTCGCCGGCTCTATGCGGGGGTCGTGCGTTCGATGGCCCTCTACGGTGCGCCCGTATGGTTCCAGCGGCTAACGAGCGTCCGCCGCTGCAGAGCTAAACTATATAGTCTGCAGCGGAGAATGGCCATCAGAATCGCACGAGGTTATCGAACGATATCCTTTGAGGCGGCCACTATCCTAGCTCGGTTTCCACCACTGGATATCCTGGCGGAGATAGATGCGCGAGTTTATACTCGCCTTCGGTTACCCCAGGATGATACCGAGCCCCTGGATGCGGGAGAGGTGCGGGAGCAGGAGCGTACAAGGGGGTTTGAAATTTGGCGCGAGCGCTTGGGAGAACCTCAGAACTCGCGCCAACGGATTGTCACTGCGTTCCTGGCAAGCTTCGAAGCCTGGCTTAGTGCGAGGGGATTTGCGCACGTCACCTTTCGTCTGACGCAAGTACTCACCGGGCACGGATGCTTTGGTGAGTACTTAAATAGAATTGGACGCGAACCGACAGCGCAATGCCACCACCGTGGTGGGGGCCGGGACTCCGCGCAGCACACGCTTGCTGAGTGCCCCGCGTGGGAGTCAGAGCGTCGGATCTTGGTCCAAAAGATCGGGCAAGACCTATCTCCACCTGTTGCAGTGGCGGCTGCGCTGATGGAGAAATCCGCTTGGATGGCACTGGTCTCCTTCTGCGAAGCTGTTATGCTTCAGAAGGAGACCGCTGAGCGGGAACGGGAGAGGGCCGACTCCGCTCGGAGACGAAGACACCGGGTCGGTAGAAATGGACGAGGCGCCCCATCAGCCCTGTAGTCTCGGGCTCGTAGAATAGAGCTAAGGTATCCCCTGCCTGTCGTAAAAGGCGACTAAAAGGGGACACGGATTGGCAGCAGCACGAAGTGGTCTCGGGCCGCTGGGAGACGGCGAGGGAATCGGGGAAGGTTTACCCTTCTCCGAGGCGTGCTCACGCCCAGTACCGAGGGACACCGGTGCGTTCCATAGGAGATCCCGGAGTCCCTCGAAAGGTACAGAAGGTGGCCACCGAGGGGGTTTTAGTGGGTACGAACCCCACATAACCCTGGACGACCTTTGCAAGTGTACGGGAAGTCGATGGATGTAGGTGGATTATGTGCTTCAAGGCAGTCTGTAGGGAAGGCATACGTTCAGCAGTGGACTCGAGCAGGCTGAAATGATGAAGGGAATGGTAGGCATAAAATCTGTGAAATACTTTCTTTTTTGTTTGAAATGTTGACAAGAGTACAGGCGGTTCATGTGATGTTTAATGCAACATCAGAAGCTGTTGTGGAGCCCTACCACGGAAAAAAAAAATACGTAGAATAAATAATAAAATAATGGTTATAGTTGCCCAAGACATAATTATAAAAATAATATTAAAGAAGGCGAAGAATATTTCATTCAAGAGTGAGAAGATCGATTTGCACCTTATACCTAAACATAATTTATAGTTTCAAATCAGGCATGAAATGTTTGCACCTTATACCTAAGCATAGTTTATAGTTTCAAATCAGGCATGAAATGTTAACAAGATAACTATATTGCTGAAACAGAGCATCTGAATAATCATAAAATAATTTCTTATATGCAACAGAACATCATGCATTAACAAATGGCCTTCATCAGTGACTTTATCTGACCGAACATGAATGCTTCAAAGTCGGCATTAGGACTTTAAGTTAAGTTAAGTTTTAAATTTCGTCTAAAATGCAGAGAATACCACTATAAAATGTAAAATCATTTAAATCCATAAAATTAGGTACATATATGTATATGATATGAAACGGAAATATGGTCAAATTAATTCACCAATTACTTAATGAACTAAGTTATGATCACAGGATCGCGTGTTAATCGTAATAAATTAAGGATCCCCTTTGCCTAAACTGACATTATGGTAAATTTAATCTCAGGTGATTTTTCATAGTTACCTTCATAATACTCGTATTGTTAGCTTTTATACAAATCTGTAGTTTTATATCGTAACAGAACCATTTAGTCAAGGTTCAATTAAGTATAGTTTAAACTCTATATAACGTATAATCTATTTAAAATTAAAACTTCGAAATTACTTAAGTTTGGTTGGCAACTTGTTGTCTATATAATACACTTTATATAGCATCATGCTCACTCTAAATAACGAAAACAATACGGCAATATTAAGTATTAAGCTGTACTTTCTAAATTGAATCAACGATGGTAGGGCCACGCAACAGTGTTCGCTGTTGCACGAATGGTACTAACCTGTCCGGGTTAGTACCACGACCTCACAGAAGGCCGGCGTAAAGAAGAGAAGTAGAAGTAGAAGTGTTGCACTTCTGCGTTTCGTCTGGTGAGTGAGGTAGCCGGGGCCCACATTATTAAGAGGTGGCAACGCATCTGCTACCCCACGGGTGTTGCAAATGTCCATGGGCAGGCGGTTATCACTTAACATCAGGTGAACCACCAGCTCGTTTGCCACTTCCTCGCATAAAAAAGAAACTTTCTAAATTGGAAAAATAAGCAAGAACCACAGCTGTGTACCATTGTTTTGTTTTGCGTACGTTGCTGTATTGTCTATCATGTGTCTTGACTTACGTACCAAAGATTATTTTATGTGTTGTGTGATACATTTCTCATTTTTACCTCTCCGCCACTTGATTATCGTTAGGCTGTAATACGTTATCATAATTTTTTGTTTAAAAACTGTGAACATGGTGAATAAAAGAAAGTGTATCATGAATTTTATTTCTCTCCATTTAAGGATTACTCTCTATGACGTCATGGAAAGTACATTCTCTTAAATATCTCTCTTAGATTTTACACTTTATTTTGCAATTTGTATATAGTATATATTTTTTTGAATATAGAAAAAAACAGAAATTGAAATTAAATTTCCGTGTATAAAAGAGGTAATTACTTTATAATTAGCCTCAATCTTATTAAATGAAGCTATCATTATCATAATTATGAGAAGATATAAAAAAATTAAAGGCCGGAAGGAAGACCCTATTATTTTTTATTTGTACACGGGAAAATGCTTTAACTTTTTGTGGTGAACATGGTTTTTGTAAAAAATAATACTCGTCTATTAATTTCAAATTCAACCAATATCAAAATGTATGTCGATTAGAAGTTTCCTTGTTCTACGTTTATTTATTGTCCTCAATTTTGTAGGTAACCTAGCTTTAGTATCCTTTAGGTCCTTTGCTTAAGACGATGCCGTGCTCAGCTAACTATCACTGAAAATTAACTAACAAAGCCCGCGGGCTTATCGGAAACATCTCGAAAAATCTCCCTCACAAACGCGCTCTCATCCAGTCTCAATGCTAAGGGCGCTCGACGGGTGCACTAACGGCCAGCCTAGCTGCGCCCCTCCAGCGTTACATCCACCTTAGACGCTCCTTAAGGGAGTACGTGAGTGCACGGGGCGCCAGAGCTCTAAGCACTCTGGTCGCGGATGACAAAAGACGCGGGAAAACAATAGGCCGGTGCGCTCGCCTCCAAGAAGATGAAGATTCCCTTTTAGAAAATTTATTGTTCCGCTGCACCGTTTATGGGGTACGGAGCGTTTGTTATAGTAATGATACGTTTTCGTACTGAATAATAAACGGACAGACGTCTATACTGCTAGTGTGCTCCGTGCATTTTAGTGTTAGTTGTAAGTGAAAGCAGTGAACAGTGTTAGTATTAGATCTACTATCCTACTACCTAGAGATTTGTCGCCTGTTAACATTAAATTGAATTCGTAAATTAACACTACATAGTATAAAACAAAGTCGTCACGCTGTCTGTCTGTCACTATGTATGCTTATATCTTTAAAACTACGCAACGGATCTTGATGCGTTTTTTTTTACTAAATAGAGTGATTCAAGAGGAAGGTTTATATGTATACATACATTTCACCCGCGCGAAGCCAGGGCGAGTCGCTAGTTTTTTCATAAAACAAAGTAATGTCTAGTGACGTTACAACTAGAGTGTAAGTTCATCCAGGGGTTAACAAGTATATAGAATATATTTGACACGACACCAAAGACAGTAATTACGCGGGCGTGCTGGCAACACATTAGCGCAGATCAATCAGGTGGCACGTGCGGCTGAGCGGCAGTGATACGTCATCTGGCGGCCTTATTAATGTATCCTTAGTCTATGGTATTAGGGCGTCGCCACACATTGCCAGTTATACGCAACTTCGCTGGGTACAGATAATCAAGAATAGCTTTTATAATAAAATTAGATTGTCTGTGGTAAAGCCACGCAGCAGAAATTGCTTCGAGGGCTGTAATACCATACATCGGACGCATAATTTGTCAATGTAAACACATTCAGGGAGGCTTTTTTAAAGGTGCCCAAATTTACACAGCAGGTTCAGACTCGGTAGTATAATCGTTTATTGAAATAACAACAAACTTTATTTAGAAAAAAAAATACCATTCTATTCCCTAAAAAACAGAACTTGTTGACAATGCGGTTCACAAATACCTAAATTTTACTGTTCACGCACACAAACGAACTTGTTGTACATAAATGAGTTGCGTATAAATCACGCACTTTTTGAGATAAGTTGATGTAATTAATTACTTTTTTATATTACATTATTTATGGCTAGACTTTAATAAAAGAAATGAATACACTTAGAAAAGCCTCCCTGTATAAAACGTTAATTTTTAGGTTTCCGTACCCACAGGGTTAAAATGGGACCTAGGGACCGAAATGAAAATGCAGTTCCTCGTGGACACTGGTTCAGACTTGTGTGTTTTCCCACGGTTAGCGACTAATAGGCACTGCGTGCAAACGAAATACAAATTATGTGCAGCCAATGGTACTACTATAAATACTTATGGACCGATCATGCTGCACTTGAACTTAGGCCTCAGGCGTGATTTTTCGTGGACATTTACAATAGCTGACGTTTCCAAACCTATAATAGGCGTAGGTTTTTTAAGTTATTATACCTTCTCGTGGATTGCAGGAAACAGCGCCTCATTGATGGAACTACCGCATTATCCGTTACCGTCCCTCGCCAGATTATTCCAGAGGACGTAGCCTCCATCAAGTCGATTGCTGGTGAATCAGATTATCACATCATATTGCGTGAGTACCCGGAAGGAACGCGACCTGCAGGTTTGGTACGTACAGTTCAGCATAATACCGTGCACCACATTAATACTACACCAGGCCCACCAGTTGCTTGTAGACCAAGGCGTTTGGATCCACTGCGATTCAAAGCAGCAAAGAAGGAATTTGATGAGATGCTTGCATCTGGTATTGCTAGGCGATCTGAGAGCCCGTGGTCTTCACCTCTACACATGGTCAAAAAGAAGGACGACTATCGAGCGCTAAATGCTCGTACCATTCCAGATAGGTACCCAGTACGACACATACAAGACTTCTCACACCAGTTATTCGGATGCACTGTCTTCAGCACTATCGACTTGGTAAAAGCTTACAACCAAATTCCAGTCAATTCTGACGATATAGAAAAGACTGCTATTACTACACCTTTCGGTTTATTTGAATTTAAATACATGAATTTTGGTTTAAGAAACGCAGCCCAAACTTTCCAAAGGTTCATAGATGAAGTCTTGAATGGGTTAGAGGATTACGCATACGGATACTGTGATGACATTCTAATTTATTCTCCAACGCCAGAACTGCACAAACAACACTTGCGCGAGGTACTCAGCCGCCTTAAGAAATATGGTGTTCTCATCAACACTACGAAATGTGTTCTGGGAAAGCCAACTGTAACTTTTCTTGGCTATAACGTATCAGCGAACGGCACTAAGCCATTAGACACAAAAGTGAAAGCCATTACAGAGTTCCCCGTACCGCGCACTGTTAAAGAGCTGAGGAGATTTTTAGGTATGCTCAATTTCTACCGCCGTTTCGTACCTAAAGCCGCTGAACTACAATCACCACTTAATGCGCTATTGTCTGGTCCAAAAGTAAAAGGCTCACAAACCATCATAGTGACTTCTGAATTGTTACAGGCTTTTAATGATTGTAAACAGGCACTCGTATCTTCTACTTTACTGGCTCATCCACATCCAAACGCAGAACTCAGCATCGCCACAGATGTTTCGAATGTCGCTATGGGAGCAGCACTCCAGCAGAAAATTAACGGCATATGGGAGCCACTGGCATTCTTTTCAAAAAAGCTCACTCCGTCACAAGTGAAATATAGCACTTTTGACCGCGAACTGTTAGCTATGTACGAGTCAGTGAAATATTTCCGCCACATGATCGAAGCCGTAATTTTTCGATTCTTACAGACCACAAACCGCTTACTCATGCCTTCCGGTCATCTAACGAAAAATGTTCACCTAGGCAGTATAGACATCTCGAATTCGTGGCTCAATTCACGACCGACATTCGTTACATCCCAGGTGAACAGAACGTTGCAGCAGACACACTGTCAAGAATCGAAGAGGTTGCAAAAGACATCGACTACAAGACACTTGCACAATCTCAGGATACAGATCCTGAGCTGCAAATCTTACTTCAACATGGTTCTTCTCTAAAGCTGGAGAAAGTAAGAATACCCGACACCGACGTTGCAGTTTACTGTGACGTTGCTACGCAGCCACCTCGACCATACATTACACCTGGTCTTCGACGTCAAGTTTTCGACTCTGTGCACAATTTAAGCCACCCAGGGCACACAGCTACAGTGCGACTGGTTGCGCAGATATACGTGTGGCCAGGGATCCGTCGAAACTGTAGAGAGTGGTCTCGCAAATGCCTGAAGTGTCAAGGCAGTAAAATCACCCGACACACCTTTGCTCCACTTTCCTCTTTCCTTCCTCCTACGTCAAGGTTTTCCCATATCCACCTTGACATAATAGGACCATTACCTTGTTCTTCTGATTACAGATACTGTCTCACAGCTGTTGATAGATTCTCCCGATGGCCCGAGGCGTACCCTATCAAGGACATCACCGCGGAGACATGTGCGTCCACGCTGGTGTCTGGCTGGATAGCTCGCTTCGGCTGTCCGCAGAAGATTACAACCGACCGTGGTCGCCAATTCGAGTCTCACCTCTTCAGAGCTGTTGCTGCAATGGTTGGCGCAAAACACTACCACACTACTTCGTACCATCCTGCAGCAAATGGTATGGTGGAGAGGCTACACAGGCAGTTGAAGAGCGCTATTATGTGTCATGCATCACCGCAATGGACAGAAGTTCTTCCACTTGTACTTCTGGGAATTCGAAGTGCATGGAAGACCGACATCCAAGCTTCACCTGCAGAGCTAGTTTATGGAGAGCCGCTTCGCTTACCAGGCCAATTAATTGCTCCTGCTGATGATTACATCACTGCAGATGTCACAGATTTTGCATCGCGTCTACGTGTTCACATGGCTAACCTAACACCGAGACCAGCTTCGTGGCACAGGAAGAATACATTCTACGTTCCGAATAGCCTGCATGACGCATCACACGTTTTCTTGCGTCAAGATTTCGTCAGGAAACCCCTTCAACCACCATACGCTGGGCCGTATAAAGTCTTGGAACGCCATCCAAAATTCTACACATTGGATGTGCGCGGTAAAGAAACTACGGTCAGCATAGATCGACTGAAGCCCGCCTACATTATACGTGACGAAGTTTCCGATCCAGCTCCTTCACCGACTTAACTACCAGCTGCCGTCACCGACAATGCCGAGAAGCGCACAAGTTCTGGCCGACGTGTTCGCTTCCCTGACTTCTATCGCCCGCAGTAGCGGTCTCAGCGGGGGAGTACCTGTGGCAGCACTAGCACGAAACAATTTGAACGACATGTAACCGTTGCGCCGTGCAAGCGAGAGCGATGTTTACCTGCGCCCGCGCCTACGTCACCGCATGAACCCGACAATACTAGATTTCGAAATCCGCTGCCGCTCGGTCAGACGCGCTAGTCGGAATCCATATCTCACGGCGAATGCACGTTTAACTGCGCTCTGATAATTTCGCTAATTGTTCTCGCGATATAATAGTTTTCTACATTTCTAATTTAGTATCTTTTATCTAGTATTCTTCCTAGTCTGTATAACTTCTTTTACATGTTTCTTGATTGTCTGTACGTTTCTGTCCGTGTCCTGTACTAAATACAATTTATATACGTGGCTTATTACTTTCATTTTTACCATCGACAAAATGGCCACAATCAATTATAAAATGAATGCAGAGCGAGATGTTACTAGTCGGTTTTGTTTTTCGTTCATAAAAATATGGACTTGTTTAAGTTTCTTCTGTGCCCGTATTGTGTACACGGCCTTATAATAGAAAAGCTCACAGGTTAACGAGGGATCGTTCATTATTACATAATTAATTGTCTTTCACGTCAAAGCACCTGCGAGTTTGCCGCTCCGATAATTGACTGTAATTGAATATAGTTTTCAATCTGTAATTCGTTGTAAACGATAGTATAGTTTAATATTGTATCATGTGTATTGATATAATATTTTCAAAGAAGAAGAAGAAGATATAATATTTTGTAAAATAGCCACGTGTTTCAGTACATAATCAAAATATTTTTGTATTTCTGTAGATTCGGCTAGTATCCACTTGGGTCCTTAACACAAATGGCTGTATAAATTACGCGGCTACTGTTCTAACCGGATGGCGTGTGTTTACGTCGGCTGAGGATAAGGTATCTTGTATCTTGTATTAACTGTTGTTTTTGCTTTCAGTCCCGAGACTATTACAGCTTCATCGGACGCAGAACCGGTGGGCTAGCCAGAACCCACGGGTTTGGACCCCCCGCTATGGGTAGGGTCGCGCATGTGCTCATGCGTGCGTTTAACTATGGTGTGTCATCTAAGGGCCGTCGAGGTCGCGGTTCGGACCGAAACCCCGATGTCCGTCGACTGTGCATTTAGCTAATCGGTGGCTGGGAGCGGTGAGAACCGTCACTGAACGCGGGTGTACCTTGTGTACGCGTTGTGTGGGTTTCGCCGTGCTCGGAGGCGAGGGCGAACTGGTGTGATTGTTACACTAACTGTGGGTGTAGTGTTATCCGGCGGGGGAATAAGGTTAAACTAAAATATTTAAAACAAAGTAAGTGTAAGTAATTGAATTGTAAATAATACAGTAAAGTGTAAATAATATATTTATTAACATTGAATAGTATACTATTGCACCATAGAGTAATACATAAATAAGTACCATCCAGGTACTCATACAGACCAGCCTAAAGTATAAGCAGTCATTTACGAGTGCGCGCGCGTGTGTGCATGTAGTGATTAAATTGTTACATTTTCATTGAGCCCCTTGTTCTTCGCCGAATCTCATGTTTCCGTGATTTTTATTTTTTTTTTCTTCATCTATGATACAGATACGACGACGCCTAATATTTAGCGAATATTTATCGAGATTGAACATTCCTACAGTTAAGATTAGATTTCACTTATATGTATTTATCTGTCGTTATTCGATGTCACTCATTCAATATCTGGTGTATATCTTGCCACCCGTCCCCACTGCGAATTGGCGGACTTCATATATCTTAGAATTTTTCTTATCATTATTTCGCAAATATGCCGCCTTTTCACGGTGATTTTCTTCACCGCTGAACACGTGACAAGTCAACACTTAAAATTAACAATTCCATTGGTGCCGGCACCGGCCTTTGGGCTCAGGTTGCTCGGGCAATTGAATTAAAAGCGTTCACCCGGACACTGAGCTATCACGGCGCTGTACCTGTAAAATTATCCGGAAGTGGAGGGTTTAACGACCGTAAAATCCCCGCCCCACGTAGTCCCACGGGTGTCTTCGCGGTGTTTTTACGACATGACGGGGGCTCTACGTTTTCTAACTCATAAAAAAACTGTTTTCGGTACATAATTTTGTGTTGCGACCCACAATTTACAACGAAACTTTTTTGTGGTTTTTCCGCAACATAGCCGGCATTGGCAGGAGTTGTGTACGCATTTTCTGTTTATTGGTAATTGTGTTGAACAAGTATTTAGTGACAACAAACTGATTAACTCTACTGTGGCAGAACGAAAATAGCTTACGTAAAGGTTTCAACTGATGGTTAAGCCGACACGACCTGCGCTTGCACTCCATACATGCAAAAGTGGCTTTGCATACCCAATGATATTATATAAATTGATAATGAATAAATATATTATACGTAATTAATATTTAAACCCATTACTCCTGTCTTATGTCCTTTCTCACGTCTTATGTCCTTACTTATCATAAAATTACGTAAATAAACTTAAAAGTAAAACGGAACGATTGCGAGAATGTTCCAGACTTATTCGCATCGATCTAAGTGAGGCAGACTGCGGCTTTTAATATTTGCCCGTCGAAAATCTTGTTTTGATTTCGGGCATAACGTGGGACGAGATTAGGGGGCGTAAGAACACACGGGTTGGTTCTCGAACGATTCATTATTTTGTGGGTTCACCGCAAATTTTGATTAGCGTAATTATAAGGCAATTAACGTAGAAATTAATGTTGTCTTAATTAAGTCCCTTGAGACCTTTTTTTTGGTATTGGGGGGAAATCTTTAAAAGATACCCTACTAAGGGTTATGTGGGGTTCGTACCCACTAAAACCCCCTCGGTGGCCATCTTCTGTACCTTTGGAGGGACTCGGGGATCTCCTACGGAACGTACCGGTGTCGCCTCAGTACTGCGCGAGAGCTCGCCTCGGAGAAGGCTAAACCTTTCCTTGCCGTCTTACAGCAGCACGAGACCACTTCGTGCTGCTGGAAATCCGTCTCCTCTTTAAGACCTATCAAATTAATAAGTATTTTTTTTTATTTCGATGACAATTTCATTTTACTTCGACCCGTGATAGCTCAGTGTCTGGGCGCTCGCCTTTTATTTAATATACTCGAGCAACCTGAGTACGATCCCCGGTGCCGGCACCAAAGAAATTGTTAATTTCAAGTGCTGAATTATCGAAGTCAGCGGTGAAGGAAGAACATCGTGAGGAAACCTGAATCTTTTCGAAAGAATAATAAAAGAAATATTTCGAAAATATGTGGTCTGCCAATCCGCAGTGAGGTCGCGTGGTGAACCATGATACCCTCTTTACAGAGGAGGCCTTTGTCCAGCAGTGGAACATATTAGAAACGTTATTAAACATACGTTAGAACATATTATAGGCGTTACTCTACTTTTTTCTACTTTAGATACGCCGTCACGTGTAAGTTACGTTAGTGAATAACTGTATGACAGCTCGTTGAGATGAGAATCTGCATTGTTAGTTGCATTGAATACACACACGTGTGTTTCTACCGATGAAGTTGAAACTGAAGGTGAGTTTTGGGGGAAGGAAAAATGTGTGGCTTTTTACTAGCGAGCGGTAGCTTTAACACGCTTCGTTGATTACGGGAAAAACTGGCGGAGTTCGGCTTTATTGTAACGGCTTTTCGTTATTTCAAAGCGTTATTGTAAAAAAAAAGTTATGTTTGGTAAATTTTTGTGCGCAGCGTAAGGATACTCTTCAATATCGTAGATATAAAGTTCAAATTCAAATTATTATTAAATATCTCTATAAGATATTACATATATTATCAAATTAAATATCTTCGTTGAAGTTTGTAATGTGTAAAGGAAAGTAGATTAGTCTTAAAAAGTAGGTCACAACCTCGGTTTTCCGGGGAAGTACCGTGGTACTTTATACCGAATTATTCCTGGATTATTCCTTGCCGGATTATTAATGGAATGTAGATGGATATATCGAAACAAGAAGCGCCCTTTCAATTTCATTTGGAACAGACGATTCTCGTATGGGCACCCAGTGCAGCGTTCGCCTCGCCGGAGGCTAAAAATGCCGCCATCTGTGCAAACTCACCCAGCTTAGACCAAATATCCCACCCAAGTGCCACCGATATTATTCTGCCGCAGGGTAAACAGTTGGTGCGGTCACGTTTGTTGACCGGACATCAGATACTCTGTGAGGAGGCTCGATGACGTGGCAAAACAGCACGCGGATCCATACACGTATGTATGAATTGTATGGCTCTATGAAAAGTTTTAAATTCATCTTTCACCTACGTCCAGGCAGCGAAACGATTTGGAATATTGAATAAGCACTTACAATTTTTGTATTTTGCGTGAATATGGTTGTAAGTTGTAAGGACGTTTTACATACATAATTTCACGTGGACAAACACCCAGATCCGAAACGTTTATCTGTCGATCACACAAATGGCTGTCTTGTGTGGGAATCGAACCCAGAACCCCCGGCGCCGAGGCCAATACACGGATTCATCCAGCACTTATGTTACAAACATACGTAATTACTCCCTGAGGTATTAATACATAGAGCATAGAGGTATTAATTTTTTAAATAAAATACGTTGATTTTATAGGCATTTAATTATAATTATGTACAGTTAATAATTAATAAGCACTTCCAAATTCTGTCGCACGGGATGATGATGTATGACAGATGAACTTGTTCGCGGCCCATAAATCTTATTTGTGCCTTCCTCATTGGTTCGAGCCAATTTTCCCGACGGCGAGCCGTCAACTACAACGTGACATTAATATATTACGTGTTAGCTGCAGTTAAGATGGAAATAAATTGCGTTCATTCTCCGTGAATGCATTACGCAGCAACTATTACATAACTTTACGATTGATAATTATTTACATTCGAAAGCAATATCACCTATATTTCGTCTTTGACGTTAAAGTTTGAAATTCTTAATTGGTTTAACTAAACTGACACTAATACTTAAATACATAAACTTACTGTTATTTTGCAAATAAATACATATAGTACTCATTTACTGTTAATACAGACAGACACTGGAAAAACATTATACCCATCACACGATATTTTTCCAGTAGTGGGAATCGAACCCACATCCTCTAGTGCAAGAGGCAGGTCCACTACCCACTACGCCGATCGGGTCGACAACAATCGCCATGTTTGTTCTAATAATGTGATAAGCGGTAGGTATGTCGCCGAACGGATTATTAATTATTGTAACTCAGGTAAATATTCTATACGCAAATTTAACATTTTAACAATAGCAAATCTAAAAAATTTTGAACTAATTGCTATATTTAATAACTTGCCGAATGCATTGACTATGAGAATCCAAGGAATAAAGAATGTAAAGCAAATAGAACGACAGTACAAATTGTTCCCACTCACATAGACGACATTTATCACCGGCCTTTTAAAATCACTTTCCCCGATGGGCTAGTAAAGGTTAAAATTAAAACGCCCGCCGTACAATTACTCGGAAACGGGCATCGAATCCCGGGGGGGGGGGGGAACCATAATCCCGCGTCCACTAATCCCGGACCCGTGATCGGACAAAGGCGAAATAAATCACGGCCCGAATTAGCGAGGCGATAATGTCCCGTGGGTTTGTCGGGGCTGGTGGCGGTATGAAACCTTCGTAAACATTTCTCATAAACCTAAAACAGGCTTGGCCAACACGTAAGTTTGGTTCGTTATCATTGTTTAAACTTTGATATCGATTAAATTTCAAGCCGCCCTATGCCTTGTATGAATGTTTTGAAAAAATCATGGAGGAAGTTTTACATGAACTTCATAAACAGAAAAAATCTGTCGTCATATGCGGAGACTTTAATATTAAACTCCTAGAAGCTTCCTCCATCAGGATAAGATTCTGTTCATTGTTAAAATCGTTTAATACCTTCAACTTGTTTTTTGAGCCTACAAGAATAACAGAGTCAAGTGCAACATGTATAGATAACATTTTTACAGATGTCAAACCATTGCACAGACTAATAATACATAAATTAAGTTCTGACCATTCAGAGCAGTTTGTCACATTGCCTCTGCACTGTAAAATCCAAGATACTAGGAAAGCTGTGTTTTTTCCGATAAATAAATATCGTAAAGAGAAGTTTAGAAGTAATTTAATAAAAAAACTACCTATGCTGCCCTACTATGACAATGCTAACGCCTTGTATAGTTCATTATTTAATTACATACAAATCGAATACAATGCCGTTTTTACTTCTAAAACATTATCTTTGAACATTCGCAAGACTTTTAATGAAATTAATAAATGAATGGGTAACAGCAGGAATTCACCGCAGTAGACGAAGATTGTATGAACTTTACAGTGAAAGGTCATACAACCATTCTGAGACATTTAAAGATTACGTTAAAAATTACTCAAAAATATTTAAAAAAGTGTGTCTTGCCGCCAAGTCATTACATTTGAGAAATAAAATTAAAAATGCCTCAAATGAGACAAGAATACAATAAAGAATTATTGCTAATGAGACATAAAGAAGAGAGCAGCTATATACATAATATGTATGTATAATAATAACGGGGCTATCGCGACACGTTGTAATATAAAGCGTAAATGTTATACACTATAAATATAAGATTTCCACAAACATTGGTCGCATCGTTAATATACAATGAGCTATGTTACGTCGCAAATAAAAATATCGCGTTTCAAAATAAATATTTCTTTCACCGGCGCTTAGAAATCGTTTCATTATAATGTCATTAAGAATAATAAATGGCTTTTCCACACAGTACCAGCCCTATTTGGATTTTATCGCCTTTAATTACATTTTTCAATTCCCGACGTTTTATACCCTAAATGTCGGAAATTTAAAAATGTAATTCAACAACACATCTTTAAAATAGTTTTATTTCATAAAGAAGTAGGTATATATTATTTGAAGCGAAAAAGTGTGACTGATTGCTCTCAAATATTATTTACGTAAACTGAAAGATAAAATGATTATTTTATTGTGTATACGCGATTACACATTATCGAGATTACTTTTAATTTTAGTTTCCGACGTTTGAACTCTTTCCTGGTTCTGTTCCGTGACCATGATCGCTGAAAAGGGTTCGAAACATATGGAACTACAAATAAAAATAAAAGCGATAAATCCATAAAAGTAGTTTCATTTAGAATGAATTAATGAATGAAAAAAGGCTAAAGACATTATAAGACATTGGTGAAGCAGTCATCGTAGACGCTACCAAGACTCTAGAGGGTTAAACATTATACATATGTTCCAAAATATGCAAAATTTATTTTTTCGGCACTGGGCAGTGCCCCCTTTGAGACCTAGGTTGTCTGACAGTGAGGTCTGTTGTCTTCATGTAGCGAGGGAGTCACAAAAAGTGATGGCCATTTCACAGGAAGTTGGCTCCAAAGGTCAGAATCACCTTTTAAATCCACAATCTAGGTAATAAAGAATTTACGACAGGAAAAGGGTCCCCATGAACATTTTGGTTTTTCTAGCGATTAGGTTCCCTAATTCACAAAAGGAACCTGCTTAGCTTTCTACATGGGAACCAGGAAGGTTAATATCACTAAGTTCAATGAGGTTTAGAAGAGAATGTGAACAATACAATCCAATCCATTCTATTGGATAAGGTTCTGGTTGTTCTACTCCCGTAAACTTGTCAACTTATCGTTAGTGTGTGGCCATGGTTGAACATATGAGAGCCTAGGCTTTAGAAAGGTCTCTTCGTAGTGCCAGTTTAAATGCAGGCAGCCTGTCGATCGGTGTATTTCCACGGGAAATTTCCACTTTGGACAAACGAAGCCAAAGATTATTCGACACATTCCTCAGCAAACATCGACTTTGATAAGCTCTTAATGTAACGACATTTGTACAAGCATATCTAGTTTATATATATCTTGGTAAGGAAACGTGTAAATATATGTTTAGGGATTTCATTCAAATATTATGGTAAATATTTCGTAATATGAACGGTGCGCGGAATAATTAGCAATAAACTGGCGAAAAATTTTTCGACAATTTATGTACTATCACATACTCACATTTATATTTCATCTTAAGTACAGATTATCAATATAAATAAAAAAAAATGGTAAATATCAATAGCATGTTTACTGGTATATAACCATCTTTATATTTATAAAAGCAATGTGGAAATTAAAGCTGAATTATAATAAGTTTAAAGGACTAGATTTGTTTGGAGCAGTCGGAGTTTGTTTGACACAATGTCATATAATCTTATCCTTTAAACGAGCAATTCTTGTATAGATATATAATCGGAATCTCGGAAACGGCTCCAGAATTTTCATGAAATTTTGTATGTGCATAGGTTCGGGGGCGAAAAATTGATCTAGCTAGGTTTCATTTTTAGAAAATGTCCTTTTATCCCTGTTTTCTGGGAATGAAAAATATCATTCCAATTAGAAATGACAATACAATACAATTACAAATACAAATACAAAAAAAATGTTATTATAGCTCGGTCGGTAATTGGACGCCCCCAAAACAGACGGCCGCGGTTCGTATCACGGTTATTAACACACTTCTTTTTCTTTATTTTTAATTTTTTTTTTTTAGTTCAAATACATTATTTACCAAAAAAAAAAGTAAAGTCCTCCAGGTACTAATAATTTAAAAACATGTCATTTTACTTTAGTCTAAATGGGAAATATTAAAATCATGAAAACGCTTTGAATTTTTAATCTTTTGATAAAACTAAGCTATCCAGTCAGTGTGATTTTATATACTTTAATATTCTTGTAGAAATCTTACTGACATGATTGTTTCAGACACTCAACAAAGTTTCATTAACTTATTGCATCTGTTGTAGGGCAAGTTTACGGTTAATGTGTTTGTCATCAAATAAATGTTTATTGTGTTTGTCATACTATAATATTTGTCATATTCTCTTCTATTATAACGGTGCAACTGTTATTTAAACCAGTTCCGATAACAACGAAACAACGTACAGTGTTTTGTTAATAACAAACGCATCACAATTTAAGAGGCTTGAAAAAGTCAACCACCTAATTATGGTGTCCATACAAAGTAACAGTGTTAATAAGCTGGACAAACTTTTAAAAAATAATAATCAACTGAATGACTTGTCAGAGGAACTCAAAGATGCTTTAGTGGGGATCATAAGGAAAGAAGAATACAAAATTTCAGCATTACTAAAAGGACGGTGTCAACGAAGGGGGGGAATTTTTTAGGAATATTACACGAAGTTGATATTCAAGGCGCAACGACAGAAGGATGTAATAAAATAACTCATCTTTTCATCAAGCAGGCGACGGTTCTAAAGAAAATTCGCATCGTCTCCATCGACGATATTTATTCCAAGGAGGTTTATTTCTACACAGAGCTCGCGAAGATCCTCAACCATTTACAAAACGATGCGAACATTCCGGTAACAGAGAGATTCAATATCGCTAAAGGCTACGAAGAAAGCAGCGAGAAGAAGATTATACTTGAAAATTTAACCAGGAAAGGGTACAAAACTTTTAACAGAGCCGAAGGACTGACGTTGAAGTGTGCAGAGCTATCGATACAGCAGCTGGCGAAGTTCCACGGGTTGTCTCTGGTAATGCAAGAAAGGATGCCCGATTACTACGAGATGAAAATTAAGAAGCAAAAGTATCCAATAACATTCGACGATGATTGGAACGGTCTGTTGGCCAATATCGTCGGCAAGGTCATCGACGCTTTGGAAGGCAACATGAAGGGAAAAGTCGAGAAGTTGCTGACGAAAATGCAGAATGATTATCAACAGTATCTGATTGATGATTCGGCAGTGAGTGTATTGTGTCATGGCGACTACAAACCGCACAACGTAATGATTAAAGAGGTGGTGAGTATAATATGTATATTATTGTAAGTGTTATATTTGTATATTATTATAATTGTCAAATTTACAGACAAATATATTGTCTGTACAAAAAGATGATGATTCTAATTTTCAGTAAATGGTAATGATAATTATAAATGATAATTTCAATTTCTAAATATCTTAATTCTATACAAAAAATTATAATAATAGGGAGGCGTCACGGTGCTGTTTAGTTCAGATATTCTTTTATTTAATTTTAAGCTTCTGCCACAGTAGGCGGCATGTGTATCGTGGGGAATTTACAAAACACGAAATCTAGAAGAATTTGTTGATAATTTTGTGATGGTGTAATTTAACTGGGAGGGTGCAGTAAATACTATTCACGTTTCTCCAAGATTATTTAACCTTGAACGACTCGATTATATAAATTATAGAAGCACTTTGGTCAATAAATATTTTTATATAAAAAAGTGTATACATTTTAAAGCAGCATAAAATATGTGTTATTCTTGATCATTAATGTCAGTGGCTTATTGTTTTCAAAACATGTTCTTGATAGAAAGAGCATGAAATAACCCATACAATTGAAATATTAAAAATATCACAAACGTTGATGAAATTAATATAATTGATATAAAGTAAAAGTAAAGTATCAACCTATACATGTCCCACTACTGTGCAAAGGCCTCCTTCTGTACAAAGGGTATCAGGGCATAGTCCACCACGCGGCCCCACTGCGGATTGGCGGACTTCACATATCTTCGAAATATTTTTTTTAATTTTTATTTTGAAAATGTACAGGTTTCCTCACGATGTTTTCCTTCACCGCCGAGCACCTGATAATTCGGCACTTAAAATTAACAATTTCATTGATCGAACTCAGGTTGCTCGAGTATATTAAATGAAAGGCGAGCGCCCGGACACTGGGCTATCACGGCTCTATATAATTGACATAATTGATTCATCTATATCATTGATATAATTTATTTAAATTATTGAAATAAACGGGACTATAATTTTCACTTTTCAATGAAAACAGTCATTAAATAAATATTAATTATCCCGTGGTGTAATAGAGGCGCGCTGCTAGGTGAACGTAAATCACTTTTTTCCATACACCTTAACGAAGTAATTTCCGTATTTGTTTGTTATTTATTATTTTTATATTTATTTAGAGCTATCACCATAATTATAATATTGGCTTAAAACAAGTTATTTTTTAACATTGCCCTTACCTTAGGATAACATTATTCTGTGTTGTAAGGACGTTTTACATACATAAATTTCACGTCAAACGCCCAGATCCGAAACTATTATCTGTGGGTCTCACAAACAATTGTCCCGTGTGGGAATCGAACCCACGGCCCCGGTGCCGAAGCCCATACCGCGGCAGCTGCGCCACGCGTCACAGTCATAACATCCAAGTTGAAACAAGGTCTTTTTCAGGCTGGCAAGATAGTGGATGTGATACCGTTGGACTACCAACTGATGTACCACGGATGCCCTGTCACCGACTTCGTGTTCTACATATTCAGCGGCACGGACCAGCTGTTCAGGAGATACCACCTGGAGCGCCTGAAGAGCCTGTACCACGAATGCATGGGGAGGTTCCTGAGGTACTTCGGTATGGACATAGAGACGGTATTCCCGCGCGAACAGTTCGAGCAGATGTACAAAGAGAGGCTTTTGTTCGGACTGATGACTGGTACCTTCATGTCGTACTTCGTTTTCGTACCAGAAGACGACGTGCCCGATTTGGAAAATAATTCCCTGTCCGAGTTAGCAGTTAACCCCGATCGTGGCTTCGTCGGTTGGGTGCGCGGACTTATGGACGATTTCGTTAGGTGGGGATATTTGTGACGGATCATATCATTAAAGTCTTTAACCGCAGTTCTTTGGATCCAACGCCATAGAAATATCGTTCACCTTTAATTTTATTTATTGCATTATCAATCGAAATATTGTGTAAGTTATTGATTTGTTAATGTGAAAAGTTTTACAAATATTTTCATAAATAAAACTCGTGTAACATATTGATCTCATTTGTTATCTGTCGTCAGAAGATGGCTAGTTGTGCTAGCCGTTTATTAAAACATGCTTGTTAATCACATTTAATTACTCAAATTTTTAAGTATAGAATTTAAGATAAATTGGTGTACAATAAATAAATATGTTATATGATAATTTTTGTTTTCATCCATCAACAGGGGGCATAATTGTCATTCTCTTGATTCGAGGAATTTGCAGAGTTGTATCAACTATTTTTAATGTTCAAGCAATGAACCAAGTACATGGTTTTCGATATAATGACGTCTTTTAACGTAAGTTTTTAGTGTGTTTTGTTATATCAATGGGTGGTTCTAAATGGACTGGATCAATATCATCAACGTTATTTTGATTAATTAAGGTTTAAGTAAACAACATAACAAAGTCGCCCAAAGTTCATTTTAAATTTTAGTGCTATTAATTTGTGTGGAAGACATCCTAATATTTTACAAATTTACTGAGTCTCCTTTTAAAGTTGAATTGTATGTACTATTTATGAACTATGAATATCTCACAGGGAAATAGCACTTTGTTCGAGTCACATCAATATCAAACTATTGCCGTCCACTGCTGAACGTAAGAACAAAGTGCGCCAACTATCCCGGTCCTGGGCAGCCCGCATCCATCCGCTGTCCGCCACCTTTCGAGTCACATGGTGTAAAACATTTGAGATTTTTGCCACTATTACATATTTGACATATTGACATATAAATTAACATTACCATATTAGAGTAGAAATTTTCCTAACATTATCATTTCAATAAACAACAAAGATTTAGTACAATCGGAAGGTTGATACATTGTACACGTGACGGAACAAGAAAGAAAAATCTTTATTTTTAAAATTAGATCGTTTGTTATTGGATGAGTTTGCGGTTACTGTGTTTGTCATCAAATAAATAATTAAACAAATTATTTTACTGATATTTGCGTAGCTCTAATCTTTTATCACATTGCAACTCTTATTTAAAGCAGGTACGATAACGCAAAATTTCTTTCGGTGTTTAAAATAGCAACACGTTCACATCGCAATTAAAAAATTTGGAGTGTAAGATACAATGAAGAGGTCCATACAGTGTAATAATGTTGCTGATTTGGGAAAACTTTTAAAAAGTAATAAGATGCTGAATGATTTCCCGGAGCACCTGAAAGAGGCATTAGTGATGATAATAAAGAAAGAAGGCTACGAAACTTGCAGCATCACTAAAAGGACATTGTCATCGAAAGGCGCAAATCTTCTGGGAATACTACACGAAGTGGACGTTATAGGCACGGCGGCTAACGGCTGTAATAAAACAAATTATCTCTTCATCAAGCAGGCGATGGTTCTAAATAAAATTCGAGCCGTATCAATCGACAATATTTATTCCAAAGAGGTTTATTTTTACACGGAGGTCGCGCAGATACTAGACAATCTACAGAACGAGGCTGATATTCCAGAAAGAGAGAGATTCAATATAGCCAACGGCTACGACGAAAGCAGCGAGAAGGCGATTATCCTCGAAAATTTAACCAGGAAGGGCTACAAGACCTTCAACAAAGCGGAAGGCCTGACGCTGAAGTGCGCAGAGCTATCGATAGAACAATTAGCCAAGTTCCACGCACTATGTTTGGTGATGCAAAAGAGAATGCCGGATTACTACGAGATGAAAATCAAGAAGCAGAAATGCCCGGTGATGTTCAATGACGACTGGAACGGTTTCTTAGTCAACATCTGCGGCAAGTTCGTCGACGCTTTGGAGGAAGACACGAAAAGCAAAGTCGGGTGGTTGCTGTCGAGAATGCAAAACGATTATCCGAGCTATCTAACCGAGGACTCGCCCGTGTGCGTTATGTGCCATGGCGATTACAAGCCGCAAAACATAATGATTAAAGAAGTGGTTAGTATATACATATATTTATTAATTTGTTATACAAGGGTATTATGTATGAATGAATGAATGAATATACTTTATTGCACACCAAAAATAAAACAAACAAAAATTAAAATTTAATGTAGCAGTGATGGGTACAATGGCCTTAGGTAGGGTATTTTTAATAAATAATTTCTGATTTATCCCAAATGACCCAATAATTATGAAATTAATAATTAATGGATAAGCGAACCTAGGCTCGGAATAACGATTCGTCGGTCACACAAATGTTTGTCCCGCATGGGCATTGATCCCCAAATGTATCACGTAATAGCAATTTGCGGGAGTTAATCCACCGCATGGGTTAGTCACCAGTATTTTTTTAATTTAATGTACAACTAGCAACCCGCCCCTGCTTTGCACGGGTGCATATAAACCTTCTTCTGGAATCACTCTGTCTAGTAAAAAAAAAACCGAGTCATAGTTTTAAAGTTCAGCGGGGCGACTTTGTTTGAGTGATTTTTTAAACTTACGATGTACTAGTACATAAAACTGTCTTTGATAAACCAAGTTTCTAATCAATTTCATCAGGATGGCGAGGTAGTGGACGTGATGCCGTTGGACTACCAGCTCGCGTACCACGGGTGTCCCATCAACGATCTGATGTTCTACATATTCAGCGGCACGGACCAGCAGTTCAGGGGCCGCCATTTGGAGCACCTGAAGGGCCTGTACCATGACTGTATGGGGAGGTTCCTGGGTCGCTTCGGCGTGGACGTGGAGGCGGTATTCCCCCGCGGCCAATTCGAGCGGATGTACAAAGAGAGGCTGCTCTTCGGGCTGATGGTCGGCACGCTCATGTCGTACTTCGCCTTCGTGCCGGAAGACGACCTCCCCGACGTGGAGAACAGTGAGATGTCCGAGTTTGTGGTCAACCCCGAGCCCGGATACGAGAGCTGGGTGCGCGGACTCGTAGACGACTTCACGCAGTGGGGCTGTTTGTGAAATGGTCATATTGATGAACAGCAATTTCTAGAAGTTCCAGCTCCGAATTCCTCGTGTAAATTATGAACCGAAGGAAATAGCTTAACAACGGTGCCACCGAGTCGCCTAAGTTAAGTAACTAAGTAAGTTACTTAACTTGGGCGAGTTAAGTAAGTCCTTGAAAAATGCAAACAATAAAATAATTTATTATTTTCTTCTTTCTATAAAAGTAGTAAACCTTATTCAATAGAAGCATTAATTCATTAAATTTATTTGTTACTAGCTGTGCCTGTAACTACGTCCGCGTGGAATTTAAAATTAAAGAAAATCTAAAATAAAAGTAGCCTAAGTTACACCTTATTACATTAGCTATCTACCGTTCAAAGCGGTCCAGCCGTTTCAGAGATTAGCTGGAACAAACAGACAGACAGATAGACAAAAATTGTAAAAAATGTTATTTTTCTATATGTAACATGTTACATCCATATGCATTTAGTAAAAAGCGGTTATTTTAATATAACAAACAGACACTCCAATTTTATTTATCTGTATAGATGTAAGCATTGTTTGTACATTTTTTTCGTCTAGTCTTATTCCACCTATGTGGGGTCTGCTCAACATGTCGTCAGTAGTATTGCCATATTATATTTATTATATATTTACGACCGGCGGCCTGCCTGTCGTCAAACCACCTTGGGAACACACTTCCAGATCACAAACTCCTGTCCCGTGTAGGAATCGAACCCACGCGGCACTTAAGCCAATGCCTTAGCAACTGCAATCATAAAAAGATTTACTAAATGATGTGTTGGTTCGTTCCTTTTCAACTTTTTTAGCTTTTATTATTTATCAGAAAACTTTATTTCTTTATTATATGACCTAATAGCGTATTGGCGAACATTCAATCATCTCTTCCCAACATTACATCTGGTTTGGCGTGTCTAGTGTTCATACAGACAGTAGAAAGTTGTATTTTATAATGTAAAGTATGACAAACGATATAACAAACAAGATTTCCATTTTAGCTCCCGAAGCCATCCAGCCGTTAGTGATTAAACTGGCTTGAGGCTGTCAACTGGAAATATTGCCAGATGGTTACTGTCTCGCGAAGTCGAACGTAAAATTTTGATTGTAGGTGGTATGCGTTTATTTCGGTTTAACGTTACATTTGTGCAGTCGTCTGTACATGTCTGGCGTAAATTGAACAAAACAAACAAGCCATTGTTTAATTTCACAGATTAAACAATGTTAAACGATATGAATACGATTGAACTTTACAGATTTATGGTAACTTTTGTTTATGTCTTGTTTGGGCGCATTGTGACTGCCACAGTCGAGTGTAAAACCTATGTATGTATTTATAAAGTCAAAGTCAAATTTTCTTTATTCAATATATATATATATATATGTATATATATATTGAATAAAGAAAATTTGTATATATATATATATATATATATATATATATATATATATATATATATATTATCGATGGTAGAGCCACGCAGCAGCCTCGGCAGTTGCACGAATGGGCAAGCTTGTCTGGGTAAGGTACCACGACCTCACAGCAGACCGGCGCAAAGTGGAAGTGAGAATACAGAGCGAGAATCATTACCACAAAGCCTTGTCCTCAATGTATACTTCGACATTATAATTGGCCCTTGCTTATTAGCTTTTACAAAATGTTCGAAATTGTTTACACTTTGTTGTTTGTGGATGTCACTTAGTTAATTAAAAAGTTAATATACTATGAGGCATGAAGAGATATATAGAAGTCTCTGGAATCCGCTGCCCGGAGGAAGCTAAGGAGGACCGATGCTCTCCTATACTGACTCCTCCACAAACCTGTTGTGTGTTAAAGGCTATTATAAAGTTAGTGATTATTTAAATGATAACACACCCTGGAAATGAAGTGATCGCTCCAGGCTCTTTAAAGTTGATTTTAATACATTTGTAAACATTTCTATATTTGATAAACAATGGTAAAAACAAAGAAAAAGGTCCCGCTGAGTTTCTTTCGTCGGTTCTTCTCAGGTCAGTGGCTTTTCTTTTCGAACCGGTAGTAGCGTCAAATAGAATCAATAAGAAAGTGTAATGCTTTTATATTGAATATTTGATTTGATTTATGATTGATTTGATTTTGATTTTGTGAGAAAGTGGCAGCGAGACGGCGGTTCACCTAATGTTAAGTGATAACCGCCGCCCATGGATATTTTCAACATCTGTAGGGTTGCAGATGCATTGCCGTTTCTAACAAAGTGGGCCCCGGCTACCACACTCACGCGACGCAACGCAGAAGTATTATACTTCCACTTCACGCCGGTCTTCTGTGAGGCCTGATGGGCCTGCCCATCCGTGCAACATTTCGAAGACTGTTGCGTGGCGCTACCACCAGGATTACCGAATCGTGTCAAATTAATGTCTCACATTATATTTTATTGTGCCAAATTTAACGGTCTCTGTGCAACCAATGTTGACCGTCTATAAAATAACAATTTGTGTTGTTTGGCATTTTACGCGACGATGGTAAGAGACCCGACGGTTTAACATTGATCCCTTGGGAGAGAGGCAAAGCCCTTGTTTGGGACGCCACTTGTGTAGACACTTTGGCTGCCTCTCATCTAAGGGGTACTTCGGTCAGGGCCGGGGCGGCATCGGAGGCAGCTGAAGTAAGTAAATGGCGCAAATATGAGTCTTTATGTTCAGATTATATATTTGTGCCATTTGCTGTTGAAACATTAGGTCCGTGGGGTCCCCCGCACATCAAATTTTTTTAAAAGTTTATGTCCTAGGCTTAACGCCGCGGCTGGTGACAAGAGAGCTGGTTCTTTTCTCGCGCAAAGGTTAAGCATAACTATTCAGCGAGGAAATGCAGCTAGCGTTCTTGGCACCATGCCGCGTGGATTAGGTTTATTAGATAATATGTAATTTTAGATAGATTTAATCTTGTAAATATTAGATCAATAAAGATTGTCTTTTCCATTTGTGATTTCTAAATCACTAGTAGTACACTTACGGACCTGCTCATTCGTGCACCAACCGAAGCAGTTGTCCTACCGTAGTTAATTGATGAGCACATGGCCTTGCATCACCTAACTACGTTAGCTATACCGTGGGTGACCAAGCCACGAGTTCAAACACCCTCCCACAACTCGTGAAGGTACAGGATGGTCGAAATGCCGAATTATTTCACCCAATAATATACAGCATAAAAAGGTTGTTACGTACCCAGTTTATGCATTGCCGTTTCGTCACGCTTAAATGTACGTCGCGTGTTAATCGAACTACTCCGTTTACAATGTTATGGGCCTTACATCATCGGATTTAATGCGCCAGCTTGAATGGAGGCGATAAAAGTCCAGGTATTGTTACGCGCCGCAGCCTGTTTATGCGAGCGAGGCTTTGACCGGGCAACAAGTACTCCGCGTGCACGTAGCGGTCGCTTTTTGCCGATTTCAAACTAGAAACTAAACCTGCCTATTAACAGGTTTAAGAAATTTATTAAAGAAAAACTTTATAAAAAGGGTTATTATAATACAAATGAATACATTAATGACAATAACCCCTGGGGATGAGTTGATCGCTCCCAAGCTATTTCTAAAAGGAAAAAAAAAAACAGTTGTATAATATTTTAATTTTTTGTTAAGAAAAAAAAAAATGAATTACAAAAAAGAGGATACCTACGGAGTTTCTTTCGCCTGTTTCTTCTCCGCTAGAGGAACCTCATTACGAAACGGTGGTAGATTTAAAAAAAAATATGACTATCGTTAAATGAAATGTAAGTTTCTTATGTCGATGAATAAATGATTTTGATTTTGATTTTTGATTTTTTGAGAAACATCGAATTCCTTGTGATAATGAGCTTATATAACTGAAATACATAAGAGCGATCAACCTATAAGGTAAGCTTATAGCTTATTGAAGTTTTACGTTTTTCCGAATTAAACACGAGAACCATTCGGAACATACGTACAAGGCACTTACAACATATGTACAAGTTTGTTATCGCTGTATTTCAAGACTTTCGCACATTTGTGGCTGAACGTATGGCCATAAGGGCAGGGGTGGGAACAATATAAACTTTAAAACGGAGGTAGCTCAAGGGTTCTCTATTAGATAGAACGCTTGGTATTAAGTATCATTTAATACCAAGCGTTCTATATCGTTCGTTGACCATGAACGCTGGAAAAGTTTCGAAACGTCGGAAATTCAAAATCAAAGTTAAAACACGATAAAATCCGTATACTAGTTCCATTTACTTTCCAGTTTTGACGACCCGAATGGCGTAGTGGGTGGTGCACCTGCCTTCTGCGCCAGAGGGTGTGAGTTCGATCCCCACTACTGGAAAAATATTGTGTGATGAACAGAGTGTTTTTCCAGTGTCTGGGTGTTTATATATGAATTATGTGGGCTCCAGCCAGGGGTTGCAAAAAAAAGCGACTCTTATTAACATATAATTTATTTTACTATAAAATATTACATTAAAACTATAACTAAGAAAGGTGACTCTAATTCGAAGTGTGAATTTAGAATGCTAATCGATTACAATTTCGTAATGAGGTAAAGAACTTATGACGCAAATGCGTAGTGCTGACTCGGTGCCTCGTGCCATCGCGTTGGAGTCCGATGCCGTTGCAACGCAGCAGATTCCATATACTAGGGCTCCATAACATATGTATAATATGTATTTATATACAAAAGACCACCATAGTACAGCGTTGCTTAGTTTGGGACTGGAGAACATTGTGTAGAAATGTTTACTAAATATTTATTATTTAACATTCGTTCAAAATCGAGAAATCAGTATAGAACGCTAGGATTATAATAAAAAGAGTTCGCATTTCAAGTATATAAGTTGACATCACATCGTGCGACTGTAGAATGCAATTGGTAAAAAGTGAATATTTTATGAGGAAATTCGCCGAAGAACCGGAGTCACCGACGTAGCTCTCCCGATCTGCGAGTTGAAGTGGCAGTGGGCAGGCCACATCGCTCGAAGAACTGATGGCCGATGGGGA